GGTGACGCTCGTCACCACTTTTGGTGACGCTCGTCACCCAAAAAGGAAGGGGTCGTGGCTGTTTTCTAAAAGATGGAGCATTAATTTCAGTTTTGGCCCAAAAGTTCCAGTATTTGTAAAAAAAGCCCTAGATCGTGTTTTGGCTTGTATATATTAGGTTTTTAGCTATTGTTATCAAACAACACAGATCTTATATCTTGTATCTTATTATTCTAGAGAGCTTTAGAGAGAGATTTGTAACAGAACTTTTGGAGAGACAAATCAGACTACTTCAAAGCAGATTTCGAACTCCTTTATCTTTTCTTCTTCTTTCTTTTATGCAATCTATTCTTTTCATGATGTTTTCTCAAATCACCATGTCTTAGTAGTTTGTTAGTTAAGATAGGGCTTTTCAAAGGTTGAAGAAGAGTTTGTAGAATTGCTAAACGTATAGGAAATCCATTGATTCTTTATCTGTGCTTGCATTCATATCGATTTCTTAGATACATCATCTGGATTTCGAAACCCTATGTTGTTTGATAGATATGAGAGCATTATTAATCACCTGAACTAGTATTAGATGAGCAAAACACTTATGTGCAAAGAGATTTGGCTTAGGAGTTTTATGAACAATTGAACCTGATCATTACTGCATGTTTAGGTTGTTAGGGTTTGCAAAGAGATTTGAAACTCTGTGATTTAGGCATAGTTAACTTCTGCAATGAGAATTGATTAGTTATATCTTTGCGATTCATGTTCAAGATGGTTTTAATTAATTTCTAATTGCATGCATTCTACGCTCTCGGATTCAACCTGCGAATTGTCCTGACTTAGCGCATTTAGCTTTCTGAACTTTAAGAACAGTCTCAAAAACGCCTACTTGCTTTTATTACTTTAGTTATTTTGCATTACATTCATTACTTATCGCTTAGCTTAATCCGAACCTGAACTATTTAGTGTAGTTTACTTACTCCCTTGGGATTCCATACCCCTTATACTACGACTGTTTTGTTGTGCACTTGCAGTAGTTTTTATCTGGGTAAAACCTGAGCCCTATCATCTTCTTTATCTTCAATTTTAGTCCTCTCTTGTTCCTCCTCGGCTACAAGCTTCAAATCTGAGCTAGAGTCTTCCATGATCATATCAGTAACTCTTTGTAATCTTTAGTTTATTTTTCTTGTAACTTTTTGTCTTGCATTTATTTCAATTCGACCCTAGAAGGTCAAGGTCGACGAGCTCTTAATGAAGCTCCACAGGCAATATTGTAGTTCACGTTTTTACCTATTATCAATAAAGAGAGAACATTCTTTTAACCTATGCCGAGTTCATTGAGTCTTGTGCGGCTACCCCTTTTTTTTAGTTGATCAACTTATCAGGACTAGATTATAAGTCTTGTGGTGTCAATCGATCTATCTACTAAGCTACCCCATCTCATCTCCTAGATTTAGTGAAGAGAGCCGTTTGGCAAGTCACTTGATCCCCATTCCATCGCTCCATACATCGCATGTACCAGATCTAGGTAGAGAAAACCATTTGGCCAGCTATTTAGTTCCTCTCATACCGATCATATAAGATCATACCCTTGATATTATATCATAATCATGTTTATTCATACTTGTATAATTAGATTTATGAGTTGTAACATGATTAGTGATTAGTTTTCTTTATGATTTATTAGATTAGGATGAGATTAGGATAGATCTTTGATGTTTGGTGCTTAAATACAATAAATCCTTTCTTGCTTAGTTTTTTCAAGGCTAAATTTTCTTTGATCATGTTGGTTTAGTTTGTAGAGCATTTTCTACCCACAAGATGTTTGATGAAATACCCTAACAAACTAAGTCAAGAGATTTACATTCCAAATTCATGATGATGAATGATTAGGATATTTACTGGCTTTATAGAACTGAGATTTCATGCTTGTTGATTAGATTATGATTAGATTAATTAACAAAGTAATTAGTACCATAGATTAGTCTTGTTTATGAGTTCTATGCCTAATGATTAAATATTATTATGATTGTTTGAACATCTTAATTTGTCTCTATGATCATCTGAAGTCAATTATCTAATCTTTAGACCCATTTGTTTATCTTTGATCATCTTATTAAGCATTTGCTTGTTCTTTCTTTGTTTAAGTTTATTTTCTTAAATGTTTGAATTTGTTTGATGCTAGTCTTGTTTTCTTGTTTATTAGGTTGTTAGAAACACAGTCAATCTTTTATATTGTTTAGATTAACAAACATTTATGCATTCTTTGTGTCACAATTATCTCAAAAGATTGATAAGCTCAAACACTACAATAACATGAGTAGTAGAGGGTAATTGTTTAGTAGCAAAACACTTACTATCATTAATCCTTTCCACATATACATTTATACTAGGTGGTTGGCCCGCACATATGTGCGGGTATAATTTTTTGATATACATAGTTAATTGTAATATTTAAATTTTAAATATTTGTATGTTTGTATATATATATTGTTTTAATATTTCACAAACTTTTTTCTGAAATCAATGTATTTTATTACTTTTATTTTTATAATGCTTGTAATAGTATATAGTCACAAATATAAAAGTTATGTTAAATAATAATTAAATTTTTATAATATTAATATGCTTTATTTCTCCTTACACAATCTATAATATGCTTTTTTGGGTCTTACATAATATAAGTTTGTAAATACATATATAATATATTTTAAGTATATATTTTTCTTGATTTATTGCAAATTAAACTGAAATAATTTTTACCATTTTTACTTATTCCTAAGAGCGGATAGATGGTTGGCACGCATGTGCGGGCATACGAATCACTTCACTACACTTAGAGTAATAAAGATTTTTTTTTAAAATATAAATTAGATAATAATTAAAATAAAAATTAGACTGTAACCAATCTTAACAAAATACATGCACGAAAAAGTTCGCATGTGAGTTTAACTAATGTACAACTAATATTTATATATGTACGCGTATTTGTAAAAAAATTGAAATATGGCGACCAACCCCAATGGAGAACTTATTAAGAAAGTCTTAAAAATATTTTATTATTTATTTTAGACATTGGGTGTCTTAGCTCAACAAAAGTATCATATTTTAGACAATGTGTCTATTTCTAAGACTCTTTCACTATTTTTTTATTCATTTTTATTATTAAGATCTTTTGTTTTAGACACCCAAAGTTCTCCATTAGGGTTGCTCTTACGTGTTAAAATTTTTTTAAGTGACTTTGTAAAACAAAGAGTGAGCGATTTTTTTTTATATACTTCTATTTTTATCTCTTATTCATATTGTTTCTTCTTATTATAATTTATTCTTTCGTTCGGTTATTTTTCAATTCATTTATGATCTCAAAATTTTGATATACAATGAAAACAAAATTATGTATATATATTAATATGATATAAAATTTTATTTTTATTTAAAATATGATAAGAGATAAGATGAGATGGTAACATAAGTTATGCATATTTTTAAAAACAACAATAAAAAGATGATAAAAGTTATAGAAAAATATATGGTCCTATTAATATTATAAAATAATAATTAGTATATACATTATTCATTTAGTAAATATTGGTTTGAAAATATATTTTTTTAAATTACGTTTTTAAAAAAAATAATCAATAAAAGTTATTTATTTTTATTATTTTTAACATTTTATTCTTTAAATTATTTTTATCATGATTGTATTTTATTTAAAATTGTATTATTTAATAATTTGTTTATTTAAAACTTTTTTAGATTTAATTAGTAACTCTCCGAAATAAAAATATATCATACTTAAAGTATTATTAATAAATAGATTTTTTATTATTCTATTGGATAATTTAATATTATTTTTTTATTTTTTATGAAATTATGAATATATGTAAAAAAATTAAAATTATAATAGCTTTTATTTTCTGTTAATTTAAATTTGTTAATTTTAGTGTTATAAATATAATTTATTTTATTTATGTTTTAATTCCACAATTTTTATAATTTCAATTCAACCAATCAAAACATTTCGTTTATTTTAGAAAGTTTGACAAGTCACATTTACATGTCATCAATTAAAAGCTCTAACTTTGATTGTAGTGTTGACAAGTAAGCAATTTTCAATAATGTTACTTCTCAAATAATATGTAGTGGATTCCTAAAATCGGGATGATACAATCACCTCATTCAGTGAGCGCAACATCCTCATTGCACATCAAAACTGTCACCTCTAAGAATGTAAGCCTTCGTGACTCCACACTCATCTGGGTTGAGTACTAATATCACTTGTAACATCTCAACCGCCCGACTTGTCAGTTCCCACGTCCTCTCTTGACTTGTGGGCCTCATTCCTATCCGGCAGTTGATACATTAACTAGAGGTTCGAAAGTCATGACTAACTTTGCAATTAGCACATGATCTTTTTTTCTATTTTATCTTTATTCACACAATATCAAGGAGAGTTACTTGTAGCTATAAAGAGGGTTATCTATAAACATTTTTATAATAAATATCTAAAAAATAAATATTGTTATAATATAGTAAATGAATAAATTATTTTAATTTTGTTAAAAATATATTTATATTCATAAAATCAGAATGTTAGACTTATATTAAAAATTAAAATTTTCATCTTTTTGTTTGTTTTTTAAACATGGTCACTAATTCCAAAAAAGAAAAACATTTTAAAATCGATCTAAAACATGCAGAAAACCCCCAACCCAGAAAAAGTGCAACGCGGGTTTGATTGAACATTTCATTTAACAGTTAAACCTGTAAAACAAAAAAAAAATCAAATAACCAATGAAACCACTAAAATATCTCGAATGTACTAAAAAAACAAAAACAAAAACAAAAACAAAAAAATAGATAGGAGATGCCATCTTTTTAGAAATTGGTCCAAATACACAATGGTCCAGTCTTTTTTTTTTGCTTTACCGTAACCCAACAAAGACCTCACACACTAAAATCTCATGTTTTTCATCTCCTTTTGAGGAGGAAAGTGAACACACAACAAAAACTAAAGTTGCTTTCAATAGCTAAGGCGTGACGGAACGTGGTGGCGTCCTTGATTCCCCTGGAGGAGTCTGACCTTCTGATCCCTTTGACGGATCATCAGACGATTGTCTTAACCCATCATCGGTTGTTTCACTTCTGTTCACATCCTCAATCATTCTAAGCACTTCTTGCATCACAGGTCGTTGATCCGGAACCGTAGAGACACACGCCATTGCGATTTGAAGAAGCTGAACCATCTCTTCCTCTATGTTATGGTACCGCATCAGCTCAACATCGAAAACCTCAGCGGTCCATTCTTCCCGAACCACGGAAAGCACCCACCGAGGTAGATCAATGCCTTCTTCGCCAAGTGAAGCCTGATTAGGCGATTTACCTGTCAAAAGCTCAAGCAGCAACACACCGAAACTGTACACATCCGATTTAAATGTCACTTTCCGTGTCTCGAGAACTTCAGGAGCATGATAACCCGCTAGACGGTTTGGAGGACTTGAGTTGCTGAAGAGTTGGTTAAGTCCATAGTCAGAGACGCAAGTGTCTTGGTTTGGATGTAGGAGGATGTTCGAGGCTTTGATGTTTCCATGTACCAATTTGGCTGAAACGTGAAGATGAGTTAAACCTCTCGCCGCAGTTATCGCTATTCTCATACGATTATCCCAATCCAACGGTGTTCGTCCTGATCCTCGGCTTCCTGAAACAAAAGTTTCAGAAGACTAATATGTAAATGCAGTAACTTTAAACTATAAATGCAGTTTTAGGAACCGAAAATGTTCATAGAATTAGACAGAAATTGCAGCTTAACACTATAACTATCATTTTAACTTGGGTTAGAGCTTCAAATTCAGTAAGTGGAATCAAAAGCACTTCACTTGACACAGTTTGACAAAAGCTTACTTCAAGGAAAAGAGATGGTATTTGATGATAAAGAGCCCATGTGGAAGAAAAGAGACTTTCTTTTTCTTTTTTCATTATCTGTCATCTTTAAAGAGTGAGAGAGAAGCAAAAATTATGAATTATTATGACAATTACCAGACAGACACATATAATGTCGGCAGCTTCCTTTTTATTTAAATAATTGCAGAACAACTACAGCAATATCTACTACACTCACAAATCGAATAAAATATGGATTAGTTTTCCTTTTAAAATAAAAAGATATGTATTGTTTTATACAGTGAAATAAGAATGTATTTCTTGACAGCAAAGCATAAAACATAAGAACATGTGGAAAGTATCCATTAGAATAATATTAACAAAGCATCAGATTCTAATCATCATTCCTTAAATCTCACTCAGCTCTCGTTTCATTCTAAGCAAATTCAGCTCCAACTGTGAATACGAATTTGAATTATGAAGAAAAAATAGCAAAACATAATCCACAAAACCCACTAAAACCTAACCAAGAAACTCACACAATCTGGCTACAATTCAGGAGAAAGTCACACAAATCCAACAATCAAGCTACAGTGCTAACCGTAATTCACATAATCTAGGCAGAAGAAATTCACACAATCTATCTACAATTCAGTTGTATTTCAGACAATGTACCTAGCTTCTGTACATTAATATGCATTAAGGATGAATTTAACTGGCTTAAACAGAAACAGAGCAAAGAGAATTAAGACACAAACCGTGAAGAAGAGCAGACAAGCTTCCATTGGGCATGAAATCAAAGACAAGAAGCTTCTCATCTTTGGAGTAATAATAAGCTCTCAATGGAACAACATTTGGGTGTTTGATTTTACCAACAATCTCCATCTGTGATTCAAACTCTTTCTTCGACGCCATAACATCCTTAAGCCGCTTCACAACCACCGTCGTACCTTCCTCTAATACCGCCTTATATGACGTCCCTACGCTTCCTTTACCCAAAACTTCCGCAGAAGCTCTCAACAAATCTTCCAAATCGAAACTATACACTCCTCCTTCTGTGAAAACAAGCTTGTTCCTCTCTGTTTCTCCTCCCATTCCCGACGATGTCCCTGTAACTTCCTTCGACGATGAAGCACCCGCCGGAGGAATTGAATTAGGGATGTTTCGCGTTGTTGTCGCCGGTTTCGTCTGTTTCGTCCGACCCTCATCGCTTCCTCGTCGTTTTCTCAAGCAGAAGAATAAAAGAAGCGCTAATAGGAGAAGACCCACTAACCCGCACGCGACGGAGATTGCAATAATCGCCGCCGTGGAGAGCTTTGATTTCTTGCCGGATAAACGAGAGGGAGAATCAGACGACGACGGAGACGGAGATGGAGAGATGAAAAAGGATTTGCAAGGTTTTAATGGGTCACCACAGAGATTCACGTTTCCTGTGAACGACGCGGCTGGGAAATTAGATAATGACGAAGGAATCGAACCGTTTAGGTTGTTGTCTGAGACGTTGAAATCGGTCAAATCTACGGAGATGCTCGGAAGATTCCCGGAGAATCGATTGTGTCCGAGGAAGAGACCAGTCAACTGAGTGAGATTGTTGACTGAGAAAGGAATTGGTCCAGTGAAGTTGTTAGATGAGATATCGAGACGAATCAATCCGGTTAACTGTGTAATACTCGCCGGAAACTCGCCGGAGAAATCATTATGTTGTAGATATAAGCCTCGGAGGTGAGTGAGATTTGAGAAATCTGGAGGGATCTGGCCCGAGAGACGATTAGAACGAAGACTTAGAACTCGGAGTTGACTCAGTTGGCCTAACGATCCGGATGGGATCTGACCCACTAAACCGGTACCTGGTAACCGGAGAGAGTAGATGGAGGACCGGTTCGAGTTGCATTCGACTCCGACCCAGTTACACGCTGAGTCAGACTCGTTCCATTGAAGACGATTCTCGTGAGGAATCTGCTGAATGAAGGCGAGGAGAGCTTGTTTTTCTAGGAGTGACTCTGAGTTGACTCGATGAGTCAACAACAAAATCGAGACGAAAAAACTCAAAACCCATAAAATGGCTGCCATTTGGGGAATTTTAGAGGAACAGATAGAGAGAAAAAAGTAAACTAAGATAAAACGAATCTTTTCGACTTTCTTCTACTTTTGTCTGTTTACAAGAAGTGGGTTTCGTTGATGAATATGGTTTGCTGAAAACTACTGGTTTTCGGGCAAAAACTCATTTGTTTTCTGGTGGGAGTGACCAAGAGAGATGGAGTGATTTGAAAAGAGAGAGAACTTGAAGAGAGAGAGAGGGAGAGAGAGAGAGAGAGTAGAGTCTACGAGTCAATATGTGTCTGTGTGGAGGTGTAGGATCGTGAAGTCTTTTATGAGGAGAACGAGAATAGCATCAAAACTATCACGAGGGACAAAAATGTTAAAACAAAAGATATATTAAAAATTAAAGCTTTTTTTAATTGAGAAAGAGAAAGTTTAGTTTCAACTCTTTTAATCAGATGAGAATTAATTTTTTTTTGGGAAATACCACTGAATGGCTAAAGACTGGTAGTGAATTAACAAAATGACTACAATTTTTCTAAATCCGAGCATTAAAATATGTTGCTACTCCTTTTGCCAACGATACCCCCACGCGCAACCAGTTCGCAGACTCCCCATCGACATATGTGGGGTACTATGGGCGAATAAAATGTTTTGTTGATTAGTTATATTTAGAAAGCTTTAACTATGTCCGATTTTAGTCTGAGTAACTGCATATTTAATATCCCGCGTCCCTTCGTTGTCCGAACCCTAAAATCAGTTTCTCTACATCGACTGCCGAAGGCGAAGTAAACGTCCAGTAGAAACCCCCGTCTTTAACCGACTTCGACCACTCCAATAGCTTCTATTAAGCAATTTGCCATCCCCACGCAACCTCCGGTGGCCGGAACACTTCGGCTGTTCTTATTCGTTGCCTGTCGTAGGCTAGTTAACCGATTTCATTCAGTCTCCCAGTATGTCTGTTTTCGAGGAGCAATCATCTCCACCGTAGATTTTCCGAGACACACATGCCGTACACTGGTAATTGAGGTAATCCTAACTTCCACTCCTCTACGCTTAACCCCATTTCAGTTTTCCGATGTCTTGGCTCACGATTATCGGTGCCCCTCATCTTTTGGTCTTCTCGATCTTTAATAGTGATTCGGCTTTAAAATTGCTCGTTGTGGTATTTCTCCTCCGTTTTTTGGTTTTATCTACTCCTCTGACCTAACCGACACAACATGCAATTGGTTAGATAGGGTCAAGGGTTTTACATCAATTCTCGTATACGGGGTTATGAGTAGAACACATATTATGCTATCGCAATCCTCTTCCCTTAATAGGCATTCATTATCCGTATATAGACAACTACAAACATCGCCGATCAAACCCAGATCTACTTTTACATGCCCATCTATCCAAGGAAATAAATACCCAAAAAATGTCATAGATCGACTATATATGCATGTAACCCCTGATACATTGATCCCTTTTTGTATTCTTTTGGCAGGGATGGAATCTAATGTACTTCCACAACGGCTGTTCGCTGATCACCAGGAGCCAGTCGGGGACCGAGTGAATTCGTAATTCAAGCTTGACACAATCGAGGTTATCTTGAAAGCCCTCACACCCGAGGAACTAAGCGTCATTCGTCTTTGTTTTGGGAAACTGATCGACATGTATCAGAAACCCGCCCACTCCGGCAAACTCGCTCACTTCCTATCAACCAGGCAGTTGAAGACTGAAAAGAGGCATGAGCTTTGGTTTATTTTCGGGGGTAAGCCAGTCAAATTCTTGCTTCGCGAGTTCGCGATTGTTACAGGCTTAAACTACAAACCAATTTCCCCTCCTCCTCGGGAAATACTGAAGTGCAAACCCGGCGAGGTCCCATACTGGTTCACTCTATTCGGGGGAGATGAAAACGTCACCGGTGAGAAGCTGGAGGTGATGCTTAGGCGCTCGAAAAATATATCGAGCGAGCTGAAGGTCAAGTACGCATGTCTCCTCATCGTGGATGGGGTGCTTTGCCGTAAATCCTCAGGCATGAAGATCTCCAAAGACCATGCAGAGATGATTCGAGACCTAGATTACTTCCTCAGTTTCCCTTGGGGGCGGCACTACTTCGAGATGACCGTTCAGTGCATCAAGTCCCGCACCACCAATCAGCTAGCACAGCCCACCGTCGCTGTACAGAGTTTTATTCATGCGGTCCAGATGGTTCTCCTCGAGGCGGTTCCGGCTGCGCTGACGACGATGGGAGATGATATTGGGAGTGAGTCTGAGGAGGAAGAGTGTGCTACGGCCACCACTCTCAGACTAGATAAGCTGTGGGATCTCGATTCGTCGGGACAGGTATATCAGTCTATACCCTTTTATAAACATCTATATTACATGGTAGCAGTTCATTATTCTTTACGGATTAAATATTTGCCCTATTTCGCAGGTCGCCGTTACATCAATTATTGAAGGTGAGACTGAAGAAATTCCCCTAGACACCCTAGAGTGGCAAGACGAAGTCCCGGATCCGAAGGTTGATTACATGGAGATGTTAATTGCTGAAGGAGCAGAGTTTTGCAGGGAGTCTTTCATTGGTGGGCATGTTGCGACTCCTACACCCACACAATCCTCCGCCGCCAAAAGCCGGAAAAGGAAAGGGTCGTCTGTGGCGAAAGACAAGCCCCTCGCTCCCCCAGGGCGTGGCAAAAAACCAAGAGACGGATGCAACACGGCAAAGGCATCCGATCAAGGAGAACCACAGCCCATTATGGCGGAGAAGATTGCAGATCTCATAGACGCCGCGATGAAGAGGGCCCACTCGGAAATGGTTGACTCAATGGCGACATCGATGCTGGCGATGGAGAGTAGGCTTGAGAGGAGATTGAATGAGAAGATGTCTGCCATGATCGATGCGGCAGGTAAGGGGACTGGTGCGGACCAAGTTATTGGGAACGTCATCAGAGACATAAATGCAGACGAGGAGACATATGGGACGACCAAAGAGCCAGGGGGGTCTAATCGGCAGTCCAGCGACCACCAGCGCAGTAAAGATCCAACGACTCGTGGAGTCGTCAATGGTCCGCCCCTAACCGAACCAGTTACAGAACTTCACCACGCACCCCCGTCACTTCTGAGAAATCTGTTGACTCCGATCCAGAAGGGGTGACACCATCCGGAGTGCCGGCGAACTCGGAATTCGCTGCATTAACCTTCAATGCATCCCCAGACAGGTATACTTTTATTATATATCCACAGGATGACATGGATATCCATAGACACACTTAAACCATAACTTCATTTCAGACTTATGCTCGTTTATAGCAGCCCATAGAAAATTTTAAAGCAGGTATTTGGGTTTGTAGGGAACTAAACATGGAGGGGACGATTGGTGATCAAGGAACAAGATGTTCTCGATTTACCGCTGTTGGTACCATCATCCCGTCCCGAGGTAGGCAACTAACCATTATCAAGTAGTGCAGACAACCAAATATTCACCTTCTCAGTGCTTTATCCCTTTTTCCTATAGGTCATGGATGCTTGCGTGAAGATGTTGCAGAAATCATGGCTAGCTTCTTGCACCCCATCAGAAGACTACCGAGCAGACATTCTCCCCAGTAGGTGGGCCGTGTCGATGGCGAAGCTCTATCTAAAATTCAGCAAATCAAACCGGAAAGAGTCGTTTGAATTCGGGGATACTATCATGGATATGGTATGCGCAGGCACTAAAGATTGGGTGAAAGACATTGACTTTGTTATTTTCCTTTTGTAGCGGACAAGAACAGATGGGTTGGGGTCGTCATTGACATACTGTCCGCCCAGATGACAGTTTTTGACTCATCGGCGTCTGAGAGGCGTGGGGCGCGAATAGTCCCCGAGCTCCAATTCATATGCCAGATGTTTCTGTATCTCGTTCGCAAAGTCGCTGATGGTGATTGCACGGTAGATTATGGTCTCGAACCACTGAAGATTAGGAGGGACACGGCAGTTGTCCAAGCTACAGATAGGAAGATAACGGGGATGCTCACCCTCCTAATCATAGAGGCGCATGCGCGGGGTGGGCTATCCGAGGCCTATGTTGTTGATGAAGGAATGGTCAAAATACGCGCGCAGAACTTAGCCGTGGAGATCATCAAACACAGTGTTATGAAGGGTTCATCCCCGTAATGCAATGGGAACTCTCGGAAGTCCCTTTTTGTATGTTGTGACAATTTGGTGGCGAATGATTTGATGATACATTTGTTCCGTTTTTGCATACACTTACATGGTTGGTCTACATTGGGTTGCTGTCCCCAAATTGTTTGTTTGTCGTATTTTCCAGGACCTTGTTTATGGTTTGTTTTAGTCGATTGTTCGTCATATTCCTGTTTTTATAAGTCGCTATTTTAAAATCTAACGTCGTCACTTGTTGTCGTACATTCCATGCGTTTTGTGGTTATTTACATTTTTTAAAAAATATATGTCGTTTTGGTAGTGTGCTCAACATGTCGTTATAATTCAATATATCTTCGCTACTTACTTAAATAGAGACTATTAACAAATATGAACAGATATATATATATATAGTTAGGTTCACTCTAATTATGTTTCAGTTCCTCTGTTCGCAATAACCGCCAACGAGATAACACGTTTTTCAACTAAATAATTTGACATTATATGTGCATTGTAAAGTGCACACGGATTACATAGATGCCCCACTTAGGGGGAGAGTTATGAATATAAAATAAACACATGAAATCATAAAACTGGCGATCCATATAATACAAAGGCAGGGCATTTTTTGATATAACCCAGCATCTGTGACGATAGAGGTGGATGTAATACAATGGTTGAAAAAGTCACTTATTTTCCGAGCACACAACAGAATTCCAAAGCCGCTGAGCTTTCATCATACATGACAAAATCGGTAGCTCAAATCTGCAACGTAGAAGACAGATGAGGACCCTTACTTAATGCAAATCAATATTCCGAGAATAATCCTACTATGAGTTGGTATAGTGACATACCTTATTACACAATCCCATATTATATTGCCAACTTGCAGGACGAGCGGTTAT